GAGAGAGGGGAAATCGTGTTAGAATATCAATGTATTCAATGAGGCTTCAAATCTGCTCCCACAACAGAGCTAAATAATTTAATTAAAAAACCTTAATATTCTGCTTTCCCAGTATATTAAAAAATATACAGATATTAAAAATAAAACTTTAAACTCAGAATAGTTATGCACATAATCGCTGTTTAGAAAGAACTGTTATTATCAGTGTAAATATTTGCACAATGATATCCATTCTAATAAATCTTTTTTTGGCCAGGCAAAAAGGAAATTATTCATCATTTTTCAAAAATAAAGTTGCCCGTTCATAACAAAATATTTGCATGGACACATTTTTACACCCTGGAGTAACAAAGGAAAAATGCTACAAAAACAAAAGCAAAAAATAAAAATAAATAACACTCCATCCCCTTTATATTAATGCTTGAGAACTGTAGTTCCAGGAGAAATGATAAAAATGTATATAGAAGATCCTATAAGACTGTAGACAAGGAGGACGCAAACATTAAGTTAGAGCCTATGATACCTTTATATGTACTATTCAAATAGAAGACTGCGACCCCTTAAAGAAAATGTATTATCTGAGAAATGATTATGGAACACTAATAGCTGGAAAGTATTGCACTGTATGCAACAAACATTAACAAATGTTTGTCTATTTGAATAAACAAGTAAATCTTTTTTTTAAAAAAAAAACCTGGGTAGGACTATATAAAAAGAAAAAAGAAAATATGACTAAATCTCAGTGATCCAGTCCTTAACTTTTCCCATCCGTTAGATTACTTACACAATAAATGAATTATTAATCAGTATGTCAATACAACTGTTTTCCATATTTTTTTCTCAAAAACACATTGTATCTCAATATATAATCTATTATAATATATAATCTGTTCAGTTTATATCAGAATTACAAAAGGAAGAGAAATTTTAGTATGTATTTTTAACACAGGTGCATAAACTGGGCATGAGAATCACTCCAAAAATTAGCACCTGGGTTTGTACTGTTCCTCCATAATACTGGGTAATTTTCTGACAAGTCAAGAAAGCCTTTGTGAGCATTCAGTTCAATGCAGAACATTTGGGATAAATGGAAAATTAGGTCATTTCCCTTTTTAACAGATAAATATAAATATAAGCTGAAGAAAGTCCAACTTTGGGGTCATTTCATTTTTCAAAATGGCCAAGTCCTTACTGAATTTTGCAAGCACACCAGTTTGAAATTTCCTCAAAGCTTCTGAACACCAACCAAATTTCCTACAACATTTCTAATATGTTCAATTCTGTATCTCATTCTCATCACACTAGAGAACAAAAAATCCACTTAAAATCTGGTTTCTGGAGAATTCTGGGGTTTGTAGTTTAGTGAGGACGTTGAAGGCTCCTCCCTTAAACTACAAACCCCAGAATTCTGCAGGAGGCAGAAACCGGATTTTAAGTGGATTTTCTCTCTCTAGTGTGATGGGAAAAATGTTATGGTCATACAGAGTTAACGACCTCTCCTATTTGAGTATCACATTACAATCTGAACCAAAGTGGTTAATTTAAAATTTAACAAAATCAAAACCACTATGTGAGAAACAACCTGCAACGGAATCTGGCTAAGTTTGGATGAAATCAGTGAAATCTGGTCCAGAAGGAAGTCGGAATATCCTAGAGCTTTAATGAAAGTAAAGGCTGAAGGAGAGGGAAGGTCAACATCGAAGTGATCCCTGTTGAACTGGGTGGGTTGACAGATCCAGTTGCCGTTGTCTGTGTCGTGATACAGATGAGACACTGAATTACACCCAATAATCTTCGGTAAGCACCTATGAGGTCTACAGGACGCTCTCGCGGATTTGCAGCCCACCACCCGCAGGTTCAGCGCCGCTGCTTTGAAAGGGGCGGAATTTGCTCTTTCCTACAGAAGGCAGGGGAGTGGAAGGGCTTCCCCGCGGAAGGGAGGAAGAAGGGAAGGAGAGTGGCCATGGAAGGAAGCCAGAGAAGAGCCTTTGTCTCACGGTTAGCTGCGCGTCTGCTGCTCAGGAGGAGTGCAAGGGTCTACTGAGAAAGGGAACTTGTCTGTGGGTTGCTTCAAATGGTGACCTGAATGCTATCTGTTGGGGAGAAGCAAGGCCTCTTTCTTGGGCTCCTGCTCCAACTGCCACAAACACAAGCGCCAGAAGAACAACGCCCTCCTCCTGCAACCCTTCTATTTCATCACACTAGGAAATGAATCCACTTTAAATCCACTTTAAATCCGGTTGCTGCCTCCTGCAGAATTCTGGGGTTTGGGGTTCAGGGAGGAGCCTTTCACAGCCTCACTAAATTACAAACCCCAGAATTCTGCAGGAGGCAGGAACCGGATTTAAAGTGGATTCTTTCTCTAGCAGTTGTCTCAAGTCTCCTCCTTGTAGACCCTCCCCTTCCTCTCATAGAATTATAGAGTTGGAAGAGACCTCGTCGACCATTCAGTCCAGCCCCCTGCCAAGAAGCAGGAAAATCGCATTCAAAGCACTCCTGACAGATGGCCATCCAGCTTTTGCTTAAAAGCCTCCAAAGGAGCCTCCACTGCACTCCCGGGGCAGAGAGTTCCACTGTTGAACAGCTCTCACAGTCAGGAAGTTCTTCCTAATGTATTATCGAAGGCTTTCATGGCCGGAAGCATTCTCTCCTGACGTTTCACCTGCATCTATGGCAGGCATCCTCAGAGGTTGTGAGGTTGTTTTCTTCCTAATGTTCAGGGGGAATCTCCTTTCCTGTAGTTTGGTGGAATCTCCTTTTGCCTTGACAACCGCCCTCAAGGGGTGCATCTACGCTCTGGAATTAATGCACTTTGACGCCACTTTCACTGGCATACAGAAAGAACGGGGAAAGGTAATGCTGGTGGACAGGAAGAGAGATTTAAAGATGGGCTTAAAGGCAACCTTTAAAACTGTGGCATAGACACCAAGAACTGGGAAGCCCTGCCCCTATGTTGGTGGACAGGATGAGAGATTTAAAGATGGGCTTAAAAACTGTGGCATAGACACCAAAAACTGGGAAGCCCTGCCCCTTGAGAGCTCTAACTGGAGGTCAGCTGTGACCAGCAGTGCTGCAGAATTCGAAGAGGCACAAATGGAAGGCGAAAGGGAGAAACATGCCAGAGGAAGGCACGTCAAGCCAACCTTGACTGGACCAACTTCTATCTGGAAACCTCACTGTAGGAGAACATGCAGATCAAGAACAGGGCTCCACAGCCACCTATGGACCCACCGCCAAGACACCACATCTGGAAGACGATCATCCTCGAGCTAGGAGGGATCAAGAAAAACAATGCTAGGAAATCCTAGGAGTTGTAGTTTTGTGAGCCTCCAACAGAGAAGGCCGACTTGTAAAACTCGTTATGCGTATGGAATCGTTGAATCCACAGTAAGTCTTCTCTGTCAAAGAACCATGCGACTCCCAGGATTCCAAAGCATGGCAGGTGTAAACTGGTGTCAAACTGCGCTAATTCGACGGGAGGGATGCGGGATGCTGGATGCTACGAACAGGTAGGAATGCAGGGCTACCAACAGGTGGAGGCGGCCCAGAAGAGAGCAAGAAGCTTTCTCTCCCAGAAGACAGTGAGAGGTGCCACCGTTTCTTTCTCTCTCTCCCCTTCCGAAGCCCAAGCTTCTCGTCGTTGGGCGGTCCAGGAGAAATGGGACGAGGAGTATCTTCACAAGACCCAGAGCCCGGAGAAGCGTGGAAGGGACTGGATGCCACTGGCGGTCTTTCCCCAGCCGCCGGGATATAGACAAGTATGGGTCGAGGCGCAGGGGATGGGAATCCTCCACCAGACCTCGCTGCAGTCGTTTCCTTTCCTCGCTTCTCTTGTGTTGCTTGGCTCCTCGCAGCCCTCCGCGCTCTTCAGCCCAAGCGTCCATTTGCAGTGGATCTGCTCCGAAGACACCCACGCAGTTTTTCCAGCCAGAGCGGGGCTTCTTCCGGAGGGAGAAGGTTGTCCGCAAAGCTACCCCGAGGCTGAAAGCGCCTTCCTCCTTGGCTCCACCAAGGGGACTTGGGCCCTACAGGTGCTTTAGACGCTCCAGGTACTTTGGACTTCAACTCCCACCATTCCTAACAGTCTCAGGCCCTTTCCTTTTCGCTTAAGCGACTGAGGGGGAAAAGAAAAGGGCCTGAGGCTGTTAGGAATGGTGGGAGTTGAAGTCCAAAGCACCTGGAGGGCCCAAGTTCGAGTTGAAGTCCAAAGCACCTGGAGGGGCCAAGTTGGCCCACGCCTACGTTAAAGGTCTTGTAACACTACAACTCCCGGGATTCCATGACATGAAAAGAATCGCAGATACAGTGGCGTCAAACTGCATTAATTCTACAGTGTAGACACACCCCTATAGGTGCGCTTCAAGCCTCAATAGCACAACGGCGAAGAGAAAGCCTGTTGTCTTTAGGACCGACTGTGCCATCCCCTTGCTTTCGAAGGCTGGATAGGAACCACTTCACTGTGGAGATCCAGGGGGTCGCGGTGGCTTTCCGAAGCCACTCGCGGAAGGAAGGAAGGAAGGAAGGAAGGAAGGAAGGAAGGAAGGAAGGAAGGAAGGAAGGAAGGAAGGAAGGAAGGAAGGAAGGAAGGGGAGTCCCCAAGCCCCTCCTCGCCCCCTCCCTGAAAGTGTGCTTCGTCCTCAGAGTAAATAAAGCGGGAGGAAAGAAAGTAGGGAGAGGAAGCGATGGTATAAACTCTCTTCAGGCCTACCTGAAGGAAGGGGAGCGTGTTCCCCGCGTGAAAGCGGCCTCTCGTGACCGCTGGCCCTCCCGCCTGTTGCCCATTTCTAAAAAACCCATTCAGACCTCAAACGCAGCTCACAATACGCCATTAAACGGCACGATGAGATACTTATTTCTGCCAGAAGGCTAGATCCTTGCCTAAGTCTCATGGGCAACAAACAAGGCAACACTTTTGCTACTAAGCATGTTGGATGCTTCCCGCCAGACACAGAAACGCAACCAGGACCCACTCCCAGAGTTGGTCAACTCAGTAATCTGAGGAGAGATGTCACAACTCCATCGACGTCCATGGATTCCCACTTGTCCCGGTAGCTCTTCCTGCTCTTCAACTTGGAGGCAGGGATGGCCTTCCTAGAGGGTTTCTATCCCACCTCCCCATGAGTTGTGACTCATCCGGGAATGCCCTGCCTGCGCGCCCGCAGAAGGGCCCTTCTCCTCCTCCTCCTCCTCCAACATCCTTCTCCAGGAGCCAAGCGCCTCTCCATCTCTCTTTGCAGAGTCTTGCAGGGTCGAGGGCGACGTCTTCTCTCTCTCTCTCTCTCTCCATGGGCGAGCGAGGGCCCCACTTGGCTGCCTTTCGGCCCCGGTGCCTTGGGTGCGTGGCCTGCCTCCTTCTCACCTCTCTTTCCTCTCCTTGCCTCTCCTTTAAGAGAGGGATTAATTAAGCGGCGGCCCAGAGCCCAGCGAGGCGGCCGTGACGAGCCCAGTGGCGATTGGCCGCCCGCCCGCCTGGCCCTGCCTTTATAATTTCCACCCGAGTGCATCTGGGCTCTTAGGCAGGAAGGCAGGCAGGCAGGAGGCTCCTTCGGATAGAGAGAGAGAGAGAGAGGCGCAGACCCACGCGAGGGAGCGCGCACGCACCTCCACACTCACAGGCGCGCGCCCCAAGAGACACCAGAAAGGCAGGCACAGACTGAGAGAGAAAGAGAGAGAGAGCACTTTCCTCCCAACCCACCAGTGGCAACTTGCAGAAGAAGCACAGTCCCACAAAGCGGGTCAGCTCGGCATCTCCTTGGAGTGGGTTTTGGTGTGGTTTTCCCAACTCTCGACCGACTTCAGTGCCACAGCCAAGCAAGCTGAGTTTCTGGGCGAATCCACAGCCAAGCCAGCCTACTTTTTGGATGAATCCAAGCCTACTTTCTGGGTAAATCCATAACCAACCCAGCCTACTTTCTGGGTGAATCCAAGCCTACTTTCTGGGAGAATCCACAGCCAAAGAAGCCTGCTTCCTGGGTGGCTCCACAGGCAAGGCAGCCTCCTTTCCGGGCGTGCTTTTGGTGACCCCTCGAGGGTCTCGGAGGGCAGAGGCCCGGCTTGCTTCTCGGCCGCGGTGTGTCCCCCCGCCCGTGCCCGGCCGCCGCCGCGTTGGATCCCAGCGCCTACTGCGAGACTCCGGTCTACAACCCGGATCTCTGTCCCAACATGATCGCGGCGCAGGCCAAGCTGGTGTACCACCTGAACAAGTACTACAACGAGAAGTGCCAGGCGCGGAAGGCGGCCATCGCCAAGACCATCCGCGAGGTCTGCAAGGTGGTGTCGGACGTGCTGAAGGAGGTGGAGGTGCAGGAGCCGCGCTTCATCAGCTCCCTCAACGAGATGGACAACCGCTTCGAGGGCCTGGAGGTGGTCTCGCCCACGGAGTTCGAGGTGGTGCTCTACCTCAACCAGATGGGCGTCTTCAACTTCGTGGACGACGGCTCGCTGCCCGGCTGCGCGGTGCTGAAGCTGAGCGACGGGCGGAAGCGGAGCATGTCGCTCTGGGTGGAGTTCATCACGGCCTCGGGCTACCTGTCGGCGCGGAAGATCCGCTCGCGCTTCCAGACGCTGGTGGCGCAGGCCGTGGACAAGTGCAGCTACCGCGAGGTGGTCAAGATGGTGGCGGACACCAGCGAGGTCAAGCTGCGCGTCCGCGACCGCTACGTGGTGCAGATCACGCCGGCCTTCAAGTGCACGGGCATCTGGCCCCGGAGCGCGGCCCACTGGCCCCTGCCGCACATCCCCTGGCCGGGCCCCAACCGCGTGGCCGAGGTCAAGGCCGAGGGCTTCAACCTGCTCTCCAAGGAGTGCCACTCGCTGGCCGGGAAGCAGAGCTCGGCCGAGAGCGACGCCTGGGTGCTCCAGTTCGCCGAGGCCGAGAACCGGCTCCAGATGGGCGGCTGCCGCAAGAAGTGCCTCTCGCTCCTCAAGACGCTACGCGACCGGCACCTCGAGCTGCCCGGCCAGCCGCTCAACAACTACCACATGAAGACGCTCGTCTCCTACGAGTGCGAGAAGCACCCACGCGAGGCCGACTGGGACGAGGCCTGCCTGGGCGACCGCCTCAACGGCATCCTCCTCCAGCTCATCTCCTGCCTCCAGTGCCGCCGATGCCCGCACTACTTCCTGCCCAACCTCGACCTCTTCCAGGGGAAGCCCCACTCCGCCCTCGAGAACGCCGCCAAGCAGACCTGGAGGCTGGCCAGGGAGATCCTCACCAACCCCAAGAGCCTCGAGAAGCTCTAGGCCCAACGGGAAAGAAAGGGAGGAAGGGCCCTCCAGACTCTCCTTTGGCCTCCCCGGCCTGGGAAGGCCAAGCCTCGCCTCTCCACACACACATACACACCCGCACCGCTTGGCCGGAAAGGAAAGCCTGGCGCCCTTGGTTTCCCCGCTCGACAAACGGGTCGCCGATTTCCAAACGCCTTTTTGTTTTCCCTTCTTTTGCTTCTTTTACTCACCAATCACCTGGGGAATTAAAAGGCCTGTCTGTCGGGAAAGAAAAGGTTTTGGCTTCGTTTGGAAAAGTCGTCTCTCTCTCTCTCTCCCCCCCCCCCTCCCATTCCAAACCCTAGAACTCGCCAGGGCCGGAAAACCTAAAGCGCGCCTTCTTTTTGTTCCTTCGCTTCCTTCCTTCCTTCCCTCCCTCATTCCATCCTTCCCTCACTCCTTCACTCCTTCCTTCCTTTCTTCCCTTACTCCTTCCTTCACTCCTTCCTTCCCTCATTCCCTCCTTCCTCCCTTTCTTTCCTCCTTCCTTCCTTCACTCCTTCCTTCCCTCCTTCCTTCCGTCCTTCCTCCCTTTCTTTCTGTCTTCCTTCCTTCACTCCTTCCTCCCTTTCTTTCCGCCTTCCTTCCTTCACTCCTTCCTTCCCTCCCTCCTTCACGCCTTCCTTCCCTTCTTCCTTCTCGCCTTCCTTACTTTACGCCTTCCTTCCTTCCCTCACAACTTCCTTCCTTCCCTCCTTCCTTCACTCTTTCCTTCCTTCCTTCACTCCTTCCTCCCTTCTTCCCTCCTTCCTCCCTTTCTTTCCACCTTCCTTCCTTCCCTCATTCTTTCACTCCTTCCTCCCTTTCTTTCCGCCTTCCTTCCTTCACTCCTTCCTTCCCTTCCCCCTTCCTTCACTCTTTCCTTCTTTCCTTCCTTCCTTCCCTTCTCGCCTTCCTTACTTTAAGCCTTCCTTCCCTTCCCTTCCCTCCCTCCCTTCTTCCTCCTCGCTTGAGAAAGGCCATCTCGGCTGCCACTGAACCTGACTGTGACCCCCACTCTGCCTCGAAGCCAGTCCCGTGGAATATAATTTTTGGAGGCCAGCAATTGTGTGTGTGTGTCATGAAAAATAAATAAAAGCTGCCCTCGTTTCACGCAAAACACCGCCACCAAACACGCCAAGCCAGGGGAAGCTCTTTCTCACCCGACATGGACCCTTTTTTTAAAAACAAAACTTTGTATGGAATCTTGTGATCTCACTTTGTCTTTGAAATTGTGGATGTTCTTAGTGTTTTGTGCTTTGGTGCAAAGAAGGTACCTTTTACTATTTTTATTTTGGATACTTCAGGACATTTCCCACGGAAGAAGGTGCCGTTTTGGTTTTGGGTTTCTTTTTTGGAAAGGAAAAGGTAGATGCCATGGCGGTGGTCCTTTTGTGAATCTGTCTTTTGAAGTGTCTCCAAAGTTTACATATTTCCCCCTTTTCCTTTCGAATCTATGGCTCGTTCGGTTTCTAACATTCCATAAATATACTTGAAATGTTATTTAAATATATTCAGAAGACATTGGGGGGTTTTGGCTTATATAATTGTGAATATTGGAATTCTATATATTGGGGGGGAAATGCACTTGAAATACACTGGATATTAATTACCTTTTTTCGTGGCTTAAATTTTTCTGTTGTTGGTTTTTATTTAATGACAAGCTAATAAATAAAGAAAAAGGAAACGAAAGAGATGGCCAAGCGTTTCAGTGCTGGAGTCAAGGGGGGGAGGGGGGCAGGAGCAACACTTGGGTGGGTCCTGGCTGGCTGGGGAAAAGCCTCCGAGGCTCTGGACTTAGGACTTCCTTTTATTTTTTCTGAAGGAGGGGAACATTTGCGAAAAATCGGGTCCTGGGGGTCATCAGCCTCTGCCATTATGAGGTCATTAACGGAGCCGCGTTTCTACAACCGATAGAAAATACTTCTCCAAAGATTGACTGGAGGGAGGCAGCCTAGTCTGAAAGAAGCCTCTCAAGGCCACCCTGCAAGAGACATCTAGGCTTCGGGAAAAGCGCAGGGTGTTGACACTCTGAGAGGTGGCGGGGAAACAGGCCACAATCCCAAGGAGAAGAGAGAGGCTGCCTTTCCCTTCAGGCAAATAAGCCAAGCCAGGGAAAAGGCCAGCGCCAGGGGAAGGCCTTCCTTTGAGCCCCGGCCGGCCGGGAGGACTCTGCCAGAGAATGCAGTTTCCGAATATATTTGATGGCAAAGTCAATGGGGCCTTAATCTCGGACCCCATCTCCATGCTAGGACGGTTCCATTACTTTATCTCTCCACTCTCCCAATATACAAACTATTGCCAGAATATAAAATATAAAAGCTAGGTAGATAGATAGATATAAAAGCTAGGTAGATAGATAGATAGGTAGGTAGGTCGGTCGATCGATCGATCGATAGATAGATAGATGGCCTCCTTCTCTCGAATATAAAACAGTTCTATCCGCCTGTGGGCCCCAATAGACACACTAACCATTGGATACAGTTTCAAACCGGAAGTTGTGCTATGCTAATAATATACTATATTGTATGTATAGAATTGATAATATTATAATGTAATACAATATAACACTAGTAATAATACAATATAATAAGTATATCACATGTTATATTACTAATGATGTTGCAATATAGTACAATATATAATACTAATACTAGTAATAATATATATATATATATAATGCAATTAACATTACATCTTCTATTACTAATGATGTTGCAGTATAGTACAATATATAATACTAATACTAGTAAATAATAATAATACAATAAAATATTACATCTTCTATTACTAATGATGTTGCAGTATAGTACAAAATGTAATACTAATATACTAGTAATAATAACAATACAATAAAATATTACATCTTCTATTACTAATGATGTTGCAGTATAGTACACTATATAATACTAATACTACTAGTAGTAATAATAATAGTAGTAGTAATAATACAATAAATAATATATTATATGTTATATTACTAATGTTGCAGTATAATAAAATATATAATACTAATATTTTGCTATGCTAAAATATATTATATGGTATGTACATATAATATTGATCATAATATAATGTAATACAATCTAATACTCGTAATAATACAATATAATGACATAAGTATTTTACATGTCCCATTACTAATGATGTTGCAGTATAGTAATACTAATATTATGCTATGCTAATAATACACTATATTGTATGTACACATAATATTCATCATAATATAATACCAAATAATACTAGTAATAATATAATATAATAAGTATATCCCATGTTATATTACTAATGATGTTGCAGTGTAGTACAATATGGTCATTTATAATACTAATATTGTGCTATGCTAATAATATACTATATTGTATGTACATATACTATTGGTCATAATATTATAATGTAATACTAGTAATAATACAATATAATAATATAGTAAGTATTTTACATGTCCTATTACTAATGATGTTGCAGTATAGTAATACTAATATTATGCTATGCTAATAATATACTATATTGAATGTACACGTCACATTGATCATAATACTATAATACAATACCAAATAATGCTAGTAATAATACAATATAATAAGTATATTTCATGTTATATAACTAATTATGTTGCAGTATAGTACAATATAATAATATATAATATGAATTAGTGACATAGACAAACAGGTCTCAATGATACTGGCTGCTCCACATGCTCTCCATTAAGTTTAGGCCTAGCATTTAATTCTTTGGGAGGTGCCAAATATTTAGAAAATTTAAATATCCCAAAATTTCACCTTGCTTTCAGTTGGGCCAGATTGAATGCCCTTAAATAATATACTATATTGTATGCACATATAATGTTAATCATAATATTATAATGTAATACAATATAACACTAGTACTAATACACTACAATAACATAAAAAGTATATTACATGTCATATTACTAATGATGTTGCGGTATAGTACAATATAGTAATATATACTATATTGTGCTATGCTACTAATATACTATATTGTATGTTCCCATCATATTGATCATATTATAATGTAATGCCATATAATACTAATAATAATGCAATTTAATAAGTATATTATATGTAATAATAATGGATGATATTGCAGTATAGTACAATATAGTCATATATAATACTAATGTTGTGTTTGCTATTAATATACTATAGTGTATGTATACATCATATTGATCATAATATTATAATGTAATACCATATAATACTACTAATAATACAATATAAGTATATTACATGTAATATTATGAATCCTATTGCAGTATAGTACAATATAGTCATATATAATACTAATATTGTGCTACGCTATTCATATACTATATTGTATGTACATATTGGTCATAATATTATAATGTAATACAATATAATACTACTAATAATACAATATAATAATATAATAATTAAATCTCCCCTTGCCTTCTTTCCCTATTGTTCTCCATTTAGTTGTCCCTTTCTTCTTTTCCTTTTCCTTGCTTTACTGTAATTATTGAATATATTTCAATAGAAATATCTTTTAAAATAGCAATATAATAATTACCGGTTATATATTGCATGTAATATTACTAATAATATTGCAGTATAGCGGTATAGCGCAATATAGTGATAAATAATACAAATATTATGCTTTGATAATGATTATAATTGCATATAAACCTATAACTTGAATGCCTCTCTGAGTCCCCTTCAGGGTGAGAGAGGGCGGTGGATAAATATAGTAAATGCAATACATAAATAAGTGGTTTCACTGTGGGGATGATGATTACATAAATCATAGGAGAAACCGATTTTGAGGCCCGGATGGAAAGCACAGGGCACTGATGATGTGCATTAATTAAGGGCTTCCTTTCCCGCGATTCTGTGGGAGTTTTGTTTGTCTGCGAACAGTTTGAAGCGAGTTGCATTCAATGCTCATCGTGCCTCTATCTCCAGGCTGGACTTGGGCCCCTTCCACACAGCTGAATAAAATCCCACATTTTCTGCTTTGAATATATGTCTGAGATAA